AAGAAGAGTATGTTTTTGCCTTGAAAGTAGGAATAAACATGGTGTAATCTGTTGAGGAAGGCTATGCTCTGTGGAGAAGAGCAGGCACTACATTCAATTTATCTTGTAGCATGGTGTTTTCTCAAACTAGCCTTAGAAAAATACTGGTTCCTCGAGGTGTTGGTTGGTGTTGTCTGGAAATACAGGGAGCCTCTGAGGCCAAGTAATGTGGCAAACACTGGGTAGGCCAGTTACTTGGGGTTAACTTTCCTGTAGGACTTCTCAGAGTCTTTAATATGCTACTCTGCATCATAAACTTCCAAGAGCTTGCCCTGTAGCTATTTGTCTTTCCCTTTTCGTAGTGCACATAGGTTTTCATGGATCTCAGCATGGAAAATGCTGCTTTAGGGTAGAGGCAGCTGCCAGCAGTCTTTAGAAAGTGAGTGATTTCTGTTTCAGAAAGGTAACACTAGACACCTGGGAAGAAAAACACCCATGGTGAGAAACTAGACCCAAGGCCCCCTATAACGAGGCTGTTAAAATTTTCTAGGCAAAAGAAAATGAGGGTCAGAATTAAGGCAGTGAAAATGGAAGGGAAGAGATAGAATTGAGAGAGACTTGGAAGGTGGAATGGATACTCTATAACCACAAGGATGGTGGACAAGAGAATAAAGATACTTGAAGGTGAATCCCAAGTTTCTAGTTGGGAAGCTTGGACAGAGAAGTGTTGGGTAGAAGATGAAAAACAATTTAATTTGGAACATACAGACAAAGATGGTCAACTCATAGCCAGCAACAGGTGATACTAATGAAGCAAGATATTTCCCTCACCCCTTCATGGATGGGAATTGGAGTGCACGAGTGCTAGAGCTAGCCGGCCACTTTGGTGCTGGCAGGGGTAGACTCCAATCTCTCTGTCCTGCTGCGTTTTACCCCTTGCGGTAGGGAGAGTACAGGTGAGTGGGTGCAGGAGCCGGGGTGAGTGCTTTTGGGCACTGGCAAGAACAAAACTTTGTGTGGGCCCCGTTTAGGGGAGAGCCTACTACCTCTGAAGCTTCAGTAAGTGTGTTACAGTGTCCTTTTAGCTTTCCCGTCTGTGGATGGCTTAAGTGTTAACAGCTCAATGGAGGGTCAGGGTGACAGCCTGTTGCACCTATACTCGTGGCATCTGAATCCTTGTCTGGCATCCAGGAGGAATGAGGTTGCATGAAGGAATTGGAGATGGTTAATGTGGGGGATTTTGTTGACGATGAAAGCGGCTCTCAGTGGGAAGAGGAGCTGAAAAGGGGAAAGAGTGGGAGGGTGAACTTCCCCTGGAGTCCAGTCATCCCCAGCTGGACTCCTTCCAAGGCTATGCTGTCAATCTGTCCGTCTGAAGTCAAGCTGCTTCTCTCCAGTGTCCAACCATAGATGCCGGCATCCAGTTGCTTCTCCTCTCTCTGCTGGCTGAGCCAGATGGTGCCCATAAAAGCCATGGGTAGTTTTGGAAAAGGCAACATTCAAGTGGGACAACAGGGATATGTACTCCCACTTTTGGCTGCAATATTAGGCTTTTTGGCTTGAGGGTGGGACCCTGGATGGGGACCTGCCCTCTTCTCCCCAGAGTTTCCCTGCCTCTGGTCCTTATCACTAATCTGCAGTTCAGGGCACAAATAAATGTATTTTCATCTTTCTGTGATGCTTCAAGTGACTTTATTATCTTGCAATATCTTAGGATCATCATAATTAACATAGTATTGTTTGACCATAAATGTATACCAATGCAGGTTACAGAGAGCTATGCTTAATAGAAAGCTGAATATGAATTATTCATTGAGATACTAACATGCGCCTAGTATAGCAATATTTAAAGAGAAAACAAGTAAACAAACAAAAAAAGTGAAAAATAAAAAGACATATTCCTTGCTTAATTTGTTTGTTATCTTAAGCCTAGAGAAGACATTACAAGTGGTCAGAATACTAATGTTAGGATTCTGACCTTTCACTTGTTATGTGATCTAGGGCAAGATACATAACTTTTTAGTGCTTGGGTTTTTTCATTTGTAAAATATTATTTGTAGACTATTACTATCTTTCTCATTAAGGAGTTATGAGGTTTAGCTAGGGTTAAACAAAAAAAAAAACTACTTCATACTGAATGTATAAAATAAATTTCTTTAGGAAATAATGTATGCATTGTGATCTACTTAATAAGTTTTACTGTTACTTTATTTGGTTTCCAGGTAATACAAAATAATAATGTGTCTATTTGAATTGCAAAAATCAAGCTGGTTTGAATTAAAGAAGTGTGAAAAGCTCTTAGGTTGGCAAAATATGTAACACTTCTATCAATTAAAAATAGGTAAAATGTGTTAAAAAATAATGAAAAGTTCATGCTTTAATTGAACTGGCTTTTTTCAAAAGCCTATATTTTTACAAAGCTTAATGAAACAAAAATTGAAGTGGTGCCCATTATGAAATCTGTTAATTGTTATTATTCCCATAAAGTTTACATGACTTAAAAAAGTTTTGCAGTGATGCCAACTAGAAATGCATACTACCTGCCTTTCCTTTTCTCTGTATTTATTTTTTGATAATAGAGACCAACAGTCACCATAGCAAACAGAGCATTTACTAAATTGAAAACTTCCTTTAAACATAACTAGAAACTTTTGACACAAGATTGCTAGAATTGCAGGGTATTTTTTTCTGTCTGACAAAACTTCCTTCATTCTTCCTGGCTTCATCAAGTGCAAGACTGTTTCTCTACTTATCTCTAATACCGTCATCATCTTAAATATCGTTGTGCTGGAAGGCACTGCAATATTAATTAAAAATACAGTCTAATTATTTACCCTAGTTGGTTCATACAAACCTCTTTGGTATAATCAGTGGACTCCCTTAAGGGGTTTCACGGTATTTCGGAGTGAAATAGAAAGGTTTGTTTCTGACTTGCACTTGGCTCATGAGTGTAATTAAGTATAACCTACAATTCACCTTTAGGTCACTAGATCAAATACAACTTATCTGGGCAATGTCCAAAGGTATGTGCTGATGTTGACTGAGTGCTGACGGGCGGCATACATAAATGAGTGGAACTTTTAATTTACCTCCAGGCGTCTCAGAGAACATTCCGGGTGTTTCAGAGAGTCAGAGGGAAAGCAGAGGGCAGCCAAACAGGTCCTTCATTTTAGACAGTCCCCAGGACAAAGCATCACAAACCAAGCTGAAGAGCTGCTCAGATGGCTGGAGGTGTTTGGCGACAATCTTCTCCGACTTCTGGCCTTAGTGCTAACCTAAAGTTGCAGAGCAACCTCTTCTAGCTGTTGGGGGTGTGCTATGAAGCCTCCTGGATGTGCCTGGGGCTCAGCCATCAGGGAGATTGCCTTCTCAAGGAAAGCTCCAGGCACAGCATCATGCTCAGATCCAGGCTTCAAAACTATGTCCTTGGGCTCATCTGGCATAACAAGGGATCAATTGATTTCTCAAGGAGACTCAAAGGGTCCATTTGTCTTTCTCACAAATATGTTTTAGAAAGAGTGAGAGTAAGGCCAGGTGCAGTGGCTCAGGCCTGTAATTCCAGAGCTTTGTAAGGCTGAGGTGTGCGGATTGCTTGAGCCCCAGAGGTTTAGTCCAGCCAGGACAACATAGTGAAACCCCATCTCAAATATATATATATATATATATATATATATATATATATTTGTGTGTGTGTGTGTGTGTGTGTGTGTAATTTGTATATATAATTATATATATATTAAATATAATGGCAGCATGTGCCTGTAGTCCTAGCTACTCAAGAGCCTGAGGTGGGAGGATCACTTGAGCCTGGAAGGTGGAGATTGCAGCAGTAAGCCGAGATCAAGCCACTGCACTCCAGCCTGGGCAACTGAGCAAGACCCTCTCTCTCTTTCTCAGAAAAAAAAAAAGGAATAAAATGCCCCCAACTCCCATCTTAAGAAAAAAATCAGTGTCTGAAAGCCTTGCTCAGTTTGAAACATTGAATTGCCTGGCCTAAGGAAGAAGAGAAGTTCATAAGCAGCCCCATAAGTTGGTAAGAGAGCTTGGAAAATGGAAAACAGTGGTAAAAATAAAATAATCTTTAGTTGTAAATATTGAAATTCATTAGAAATAATAGTGGCTGAGGCTAGGCCTGTAATCTCAGCACTTTGGGTGGCTGAGGTGGGTAAATCACTTGAGGCCGGGAATTCGAGACCAGCCTGGCCAACATGGCAAAACCGCGTTGCTACAAAAATACAAAATGAAAATACAAAAATTAGCTAGGCGTGGTGATGTACGCCTGTAACCCCAGCTACTTGGGAGGCTAAGCCATGAGAATTGAACCCAGGAGGCAGAGGTTGCGGTGAGCAGAGATCATGCCACTGTACTCAAGCCTGGGTGACAGAGCAAGGCTCTGTTTTTTTTTGTTGTTGTTTTTGTTTTGTTTTTTGTTTTAGTTTTGCTCTTGTTGCCCAGGCGTGAGTGCAATGGCACCATCTTGGCCCATAGCAACCTCCACCTCCAGAGTTCAAGTGATTCTCCTGACTCAGCCTCCCAAGTAACTGGGATTACAGGCATGCACTGCCACACTCAGCTAATTTTGTGTTTTTACTAGACACAGAATTTCTCCATGTTGGTCAGGCTGGTCTCAAACTCCTGACCTCAGGTGATCTACTTGACTTGGCCTCCCAAAGTGTTGGGATTACAGGCGTGAGCTACCGTGCTCGGCCAAGGCTCTGCTTTAAGAAAAACAAAAAGAAATCATAGAGGCTGAACTGTAGATTTATTGATGGATATTGTGGGAAATAAGAAGAAAATGGTGATTTAGGTGAGATATGGAAGGCTTTGAATATCTCGAGTGTTTTTTTGAAATATCTAAAGCCAGTTTTACCTGCATAAGGAACTCAACAAGAAGGTCTCAATTCACCTAGAATTGAGTGGGAATCGTTATTTTATATGACTTCAATTGAATTCAGTCTAATATTTGGCTAAGTTAAGAATTCCAGGTAGAAACGGACTAATTATGTTTCATAATTCAACAGGTGTTTGCAGTCAGGAAGGTAAATCAAGATACTGAAGGTTTCCATGAGGAAGGTAGTAGATGCTGTCTCCCTTGGGGTGATTTGTGAAGAGGATAAAGAATAAAGCAACCAGAGACTGTGGCCTTTGGGTTTCTGCCTGCTGAGAAATGACAAATAGAATCCCAGCCAGCTGGAAGCTCTGATTCACAGAAACAGGGGAGGTCATGTGAAATATAAAGTCAAACAGAAAGAGCTACATGGAGAGTTGCTAAGTTTTATTTTAAAACTTATTAATCTTGATATTGGGGAGTGGACCGGACTTTGGTGGAATCTGCTAGAAAGCATTCTACTATCACATCTGTTCCTGCAGGTAAGCTGTCTATCCATCCATTCACTTTAAAATATTTATTGAGTTCCTACCGTGTGCTAGTTCTGAGATAAAGAAAAGCAGACAGGCCTTGACCTCAAGGAACTTACAGTCAATGAAGTGCCCAGGGACTTACTGTACCATGGAAATGTGAACACAGTGTGAGGTGCAGAGAAGAGGTGGACAATGGCCAGGTCCTACAGACCCTTGTAGGCCAGGGAAAGTATTTTATTTTCAATATTAAAGGAAAGGAGGACCCATTTAATACTTTTAAAATAAATCTTTTTAAAATTTATTTTTAGACAGAGTTTCACTCTGTCACTCAGGCTGGAGTGCAGTGGCACAATCTCAGCTCACTGCAACCTCCACTTCCTGGGTTCAAGTGATTCTCCTGCCTCAGCCTCCTGAGTAGCTGGGACTATAGGTGCACGTCACCACACCTGGCTAATTTTTGTATATTTTAAGTAGAGATGGGGTTTACGATGTTGACCAGGCTGGTCTTGAACTCCCGACTTCAAGTGATCTGCCTGTCTTGGCCTCCCTCACTGAAGACTTTTAAGTAGGGAAATGATATGATCAGTCAGATTAGCTTCCAGGCTTTGGGTTTTCTTTTTCTTCTGCATCTTCATGGGATTTTTTTGGATGCCCAGTTTCTCCCTGCTGACCATGTATGTAGACGCACTTTTCTAATGACCTCCGAAAATTAACTAGGGCATGAAAACTGTTGTGTTGATGAACTGCAGAAATGGAAAAGGATAAAGAGACCATTTTTTTCAGTTAAGTTTGGGACCTTACCACCTTACCACTGGATCACACAGTAGATGTCATTAGTTGGCCTGGATCTGATGCCTGCCAAATTTTCTCAAACAATTGCTCATGGCATGGCTCTATCCATAACCTCCATCAGGGCCTTAGAGCCACAGAGCTAGAGCTCCTTAGCAGAGCAACCCAGGTCATCAATGGAATGGTTCCTGTTGGTCTTCTATGTGTTATTGGCTATAAAGTTTGTAAAACATCACTTCTTAAACTCATCTAATGGATTGTCAGTTTAATGAGATGTTCACAGGTTCTCGATTAAAAAGAATAAAACAAAAAACTGGCTGGGTTTGACAGCTCACTCCTGTAATCCCAGAACTTGGGGAGGCTGAGGCAGGTGGATCACATGAGGTCAGGAGTTTGAGACCAGCCTGGTCAACATGGGAAAGCCCCGTCTCTGCTAAAAAAAAAAAATTACAAAAAATTAGGTGGGCATGGTGATACATGTCTGTAGTCCCAGCTACTCGGGAGGCTGAGGCACAAGAATTGCTTGAACCTGGGACGCAGAGGTTACAGTGAGCTGAGATTGTGCCACTGCACTCCAGCCTGGGCAACAGAGCAAGACTCTATCTAAATAAATAATAAATAAATAAATAAATAAATAAATACCACAAAGAAGGCAGGGGAGTCTATTAGTCAAATACATCAGGAAAACAAACACAATGTGTAATATCCTCACTCTTCAGGAGGCATATAATGTACTTAGCCTCACTAAAGGCTCCAAGAAGTCCTGCAGAAATGTGATTAACGGGACACTTCCCAAGCATGATCAATGTTAAACCCTTTTCTCCACCTAACCATGGTTACCTTGTTGAACAGTTTGGGAAACACTGCCCCGGCTTAACCTCTTACTTTTGCCAGGTTAGTTTATTTAAACCCAAATGCACCTTTTGAACTTCTCTTGCTATGGCTCTGTTTATGCTGTTTCTGCCTTTGGGAAAAATCGTCATTATCCTCTCTATCTTTCCAAGCTCATCTAACTCAGATGTCACCTCCTTTATGAAACCCACTCTGATGAGCCTAACTCGGATTGACAATGCTTGTTCATCTAACTTTTGAGGTACTTTTTTTTTCTTTTTTTTGAGACAGAGTCTCGCTGTGTCACCCAGGCTAGAGTGGCACCATCTTGGTTCACTGCAACCTCTGCCCCCCCGTTTCAAGTGATTCTCCTGCCTCAGCCACCATGCCGGGTAATTTTTTTGTATTTTTAGTAAAGAAGAGGTTTCACCATGATAGCTAGGCTGGTCTTGAACTCCTGACCTTGTGATCCATCCACCTCAGCCTCCCAAAGTGCTGGGATTACAGGCATTACAGGCGTGAGCCACCACAACCGGCCTGAAATTTCTTGAAGGTATTGATGGTTCTAATTTTCAGGTTGGAAGGCAGAATCATGAAGGAACACGAGCTTTGGATCAAGACAGTTATTTCAGTCACATTTTGGTTAACCAGCAGCATGACTTTGGGCAATTTCACTAAGCCTTAGCTTTCTTATCTATAAAATAAGGACAACGAACTCCCCACCTCTTGGAGGAGTTGTGAAGAGTAAATGAGACTGTGCCGTGTCTGATATATTGTAAGCAATCTGTACATGTCAGCTGCTGTCATTATTGTAATTATTATCATATCAATTACTAAGACTGCTAAAAATAAGAAGGTCCCTTTTTTGTTGTAGTGACTCTACATGCCCAGTATTCTAGACAATCAAAATTCCTCAATATTCTGGATATTTTGGCATGCAAGGAGGCTGCCTCTCTCTTTGCGAAGGCAGAGAGAGGTATGTTAGATGTATCCATTGTCTAGCAAAGAATCGTCTTCCTCCTAGAGACAGAGAGTCTGCTGCTGTGACTTCCACACTCCCCAAATTTTCTGTTCCATCCAGATTGGAATAGTGACTCTCATATGCAAACACATAGTCCAAGGCATTCCGACTTCTGGTTCAATATAAGTACTGTGTCTTTTTTTTTTTTTTTTTTTCTAACAGAGTCTTTCTTTGGAGTGCAGTGGTGCAATCCTGGCTCACTGCAACCTCTGCCTCCTGGGTTCAAGCAATTCTCCTCAGCCTCCTGAGTAGCTGTGATTACAGGCATACACTGCCATGACCAGCGAATTTTTAAATTTTATTTTATTTTTTTCAGTAGAAATAGGGTTTTATCATGTTGACTAAGCTGGTCTTGAACTCCTGGCCTCAAGTGATCTGCCTGCCTCAGCCTCCGAAAGCACTGGGATTAAAGGCATGAGCCACCACGCCCGAACAAGTGCTGTATCTTACGTGAAGAGGTACTTGGTCCCTGCCTGTGGCTAGCTTGTCTATCTGGTATACCTGGCCTGGACATCAGAGTACATGCAGTTGTAAGTCAATGGCTGGACAGATTCAGCTCTTTAGTTGCTTTAGGTTAAGTTTCACTTGAATCCATGTGATCATTTATAATAAGATAGTTCAGCAAAATAAAATATCAAGATCTTTTTATATTTTGCATGATAAATATATATGAATTAAAAAGAACTTCTGTTTATTCACTAAATGTTTATTGAGTGCCTACTATTTACTGGGCACAGTTATAGGCAGATATACAATAGTTGTTATACAACAGCACACAAAATACAGACATCCCTATTGTAATGGACCCAAATTCTGACAGGAGAAGAGAGAAATCAAACAAGGGAATGAACTAATGTATTATATACCAAGTGATGGTAAGTGCTATGAAAAAATTAAAGCAAGACATGGAAGACAGAGAGTTGAGAAGGCCAGGGAAGTCCTTTCTGTTACGATGATATTTGAGCTCAGGTATAAAGGAGAACCTGGAAAGTACTTGGGCTAAGGAAACTCTCAAAAGGAAAAGGATCGTGTTGCCTGATAGGCAAAAAAAGGAAGCCAAGATAAAGAAAAAGAGTGGTTTGAAGCTAGCTAAAAAACATGTCAGATTTTCTGGACCAGCCAACAAGTATTTTACCTGCAAAGGAATCGAGAAGGCATTGGTGGGTTTGAAGGAGAGGCACTACATTTGCGTTTTTGGGAGGTCACTCTGGCAGTGCCAGGTGGAGAATGAGTTGAGGAGAATGAAGTAAATACAGAGGAAGAGGGAGGAGCCCAGATGACTGGTGGTGTTTCCAGGCTGGCCATGCTGGAGGAGGAGCAGATTTGCTGAGAAAGATGCTCACTTAGCTTGGTTCTGGAAGGGCGACACTGGGGCAGCCCAAGAGAGAGCCTTTCCAATGCATATGGAAGCAGTCAGTTGAGGTAAAATTTTCCTGGAGAGGTTTTAAAGCTGGTGGCTCATGGATGGTGACTGGGGCCATAGTGGGAATGCATGGCATTATCAGGGAGCTCCTTAGATAGAGTCAGAGAGAAGAGGTCAAAAAATAGACACGTAGGAAGGCTGAAGATCTAAGACCTGAAGGAGGAGCCAGAAAAGAGGCCAGAAGACACCCCCGAGCCTGTGAAAACCTGGAGGCTGCCCGCCAGATAGCACGATGATCAAGACTTTAGGTTCTGGTGTCCAACCCGTCTGTCTCTGAATCCTGGTTTCCCAAAACTGACATGACCTTGGGTATGAAGCCTTGCAGGGTGATTGGAAGAGATTACATGTACTGTGTTTAACATCTTTAGCACGTTGTCTGGCTTGTAGAAGATGCTCAGTAAAGTGGTAAATGTGGAAAGAGATATGGAGAGGCATAAGAATGGAAATCGAGATGGAGACGGAGACGGAGATGGAGGCATTCCCTAAAAATGTTCAACTCGAAGTCCTTGGCAGCATTCACAGAAGGAGTGGCAGCATCTCAGTTAGCATGCCAGAAAAGGATCTGCTGTAACTCTACACAGCCCAGAGCCTGTCATGCCCTCGGGTAATGTAATGAAAGGTGTTTTCCTCTCTTCAGAACAGGTGCTCAACTGATACAATTTAGAGTCTCGAATTCCAAAGCTTAATTGTTTGCTCTACATACAAGTTAGCCCAGCTCAGAACACCTGTGGACTATGTTCTTTTGATGCACCAAAGCCTGTCTTTTATTAAGCCCTTTGTGAGCAGTCAAAATAAGACCAAATGTCCATGTGTTGCTGCATATCCACATGGGCATGAAACAAGCCAGCCAGCTCAGGACAGCACAGTAAGTGCTTAAAATAGCAAGTGAATCCTTAGGCTCTGGAAAATATGGTTACATGATTAATGTAACCAGAGTCAGAGATG